ATTTTATACACAATGAATAAAAACATTACACTTGAAATGAAAGGAGGCAGAAAGAAGAACAAAATCTTATCTGCCCATTTTTTCCTAAATTAATTTCATATGTATATTTCATCATATTATGGTGGATAGCCTGGAATTTTTATATTTTGCTTTGTGAATATGCATATTACATTTCTGAAATATTCCAGTGGGTTTTGCAACATCTATGAGTCAGTTGTCTGTCATTTAGTTCTGTATTCATAGATGATGGGGTTAATGGGTTAATGTTGACAGAACATTATGCCGTCCAGATGCTTTGCATCTTATTTTCATTAAGACATYAGCCTACTTCTAACCAGTTCATCTGTTGCACCACCGTGCTGTTAATATTATCATGAATATCGAATCCTTCAGTCATTCTAATTGCAATAAAGTGGAAATGGAAAGAGTGGGTCAGTGGTTCCTCACCACAGCCTGATGAATCAGTCCTGTCAGCTTCTGTCATCATGTTTAATCTGTACTCGACCAAAGGTTGTAGGTTTGTTTTTTTAATTTTAATTTTAATTGTTTTGCTTGCTAGTCCTGGTTCACACTCCTTACCGGTGGTAGCGGTAATGCACCAAATGTTGTTTGCCAACCGCCATAAATAAAAAAATAAAAGTTGTTGTAATGGGACAGAAACGATGAGGACCCACCCACATTAATCAGGCTGCTTCCCTGCTCGCCTCTTCCTGGATCTGACGACCGTATCCTAGAAGCAAGTTGCTCTTTTTTATATACTTTAACACCGTCGTATAGAAATATATAAGTCAGATTTGGTGCTCTTCGGTCTGGTCAACAAACAGCGGTGAGTTGTTGTGATGTTTGTCAATGATYGTAAAATTAAAGAAATTAGCCTCGCCTGATTAAAAACTGGCCCAGCGCGCAGCCGCAGCAAACGAATCGTTTTTTTCTTTCTTTTTAACTCGCATAAACCTGTTTTAAAAGCACTTTTATACGTAGTAATTGTTTGTAAAGCAATTATTCGTACTTGGATGCTAGCGGATAAATTAATCATGTCTCTGAATGTTTAGCACAGTTTCGGGAACCGCTTGCCGTTTGTTTGCCCAGCCCCGCACTCAACAACACTAGAGGACATTTTGTTATAAAAAAAAAAAAAAAGTTTCGTTACTCTCCGTAGTGTGTGCTTTCCGTAAAAGCCTAACACTTCTTTACTTTACCGTAAAAGAGTGCCGTTTTAGCTAGTTAGCGAGCTGAGAAACARTAGGCCCCGTGATGCTGTCAAATCAATGTTTGGCTGTTCGTAAAACTCTCAAACCAAGTCTTGATTTTTCTTTCTAASTTCTAATCAGCACTAACACGACAAAGCATTTAGGAAAATCTGCAGTAATTTTTCGTATATACACTGTTTGTAAACAAAATTAGTCAAATATATCTTTTTGTGAATGTTCGGTTTGAACAGTTGTGGAATTTACGACGTTACGTGAATGCCTCAGATAAGAGTGTTTAGAAAGTAGYAAGGTGTGTCTGAACACCTTCCAGGCACTCACCTTTAACACTGAACGTATGTTGTCTTCTTTGAGTTTAAAATAAACAAAATATGCAAATTAAGTTTTACTTAAAATCAGTGACCCTAAGCTGTTTGTATTTTGAGCATTGTCCTAATCTAAAACACATTATGTGCTTACAACATGGACCTTTTTTTATTTTGTTTATTGACAAAACTGACCGTCAATTTAGTACGAGTTAAGTAGTGTTTCAGYTCCTTAAGAGACAACTCGTTGGTATTTAAATTATTGCAAAGTTAAAACGACTCCTTTAGAGCCTTTTTTTTCCATGGGCTGGACTCCACCCTAATGGGTGGTGCCCTATCCAGATATACTGGACCAGTACTTGGAAACTGTCTCACATTGTTCACTGGTTTCCTAGAACAGAAAAGGAAAAATGAACTGGTGCTCCCTAATATTACAAATCTGACAATGATGAGACGTGGTGTAAATAAAAAATTTAAAAAAAAGATGGGATGAATTGCAAGTCTTATAAACCTAGATTTTATGAATAGAATACCATATACTGTATCACAGTGGGTTTCCAAATTTTAGCTTCCACCCCTCAAAATAACAAATGGAGGAAATTGTGACCCCAGTATGCAAACTTTGCTAACAGCTCTGTTAAACACGGTTATAGTAATAAAATAAACAAACCGAATTAATATGATACTTATTTTACTAAATTATAATTGTTATTTCTTTGCTATATTAATGATGAAAATCTTCCAGTAGCAATTTATTTTCATTTAAATTAATGTCTATAAATAAATAAATAAATAATCTGGGGACCCTCACTTTCAGTTTCCTGACCCACAGATTAGCTGTGACCTCAACTTTGGGAACCACTGGCATACCAATTGTTGTAAATTGAATTTAAAAGAGATACTTTGCAGTTTTATGGCATCAAAACCTCATCAAAGGTTTTGTGCAAATGAGACCAGTGACCACTCACACTTTAATATTTACATTTCCAGGTTTTGAAGATGAGTTACCCAGGATACCCACCCCAATCCGGCGGATACCCACCACAGGCAGGGGGCTACCCACCACAAGCAGGGGGCTACCCACCACAGGCAGGGGGCTACCCACCACAAGCAGGGGGCTACCCACAACAAGCAGGGGGCTACCCACCACAAGCAGGTGGTTACCCTCCAGCAGCAGGTGGTTACCCTCCAGCTCAAGGAGGTTACCCCCCAGCGCAAGGAGGTTACCCCCCAGCGCAAGGAGGTTACCCTCCAGCGCAAGGAGGCTTCCCACCTCAAGCAGGAGGTTACCCTGGCCCAGCTGGAGGCTTCCCTCCTCAGGCCGGTGGATATCCTGCACAACCTGGACAAGGAGGTTATCCTTCCATGCCTCCAGCAGGTGAGAATACAAAAAATAAAATAAATAAAAAAAACTGTCAAAATATTTATACATTGCGTACATTTAGAGATAAATAAGATTTTCATTGTAACGCTAATGTTTGCTTTGCAGGTGGAGGCTGGGGTGCAGCACCAGGCGGCTACGGCCCGGTACATAAATTCTTATCTGTTTAAATCTGAAGTGTAAATTCATTAATGGACAAACACAGGCTAAATCCTGTTTGCTGAAATCTTATTTTCACTAACCTTAGTTTGACCTCAGCCTTTCTGTATGAAGTGAATCATCCTGAATTAGCTGCTTACAGCTATTCTTTGTCTGTAGCCAGGAGGAGCTCCGCAGGGATACCCAGGGGGTCCCGCCCCAGGCCAACCCATGCCAAATTACCCCGGAGCCCCTGCCACTGGCCCCTCAAACCCTGCTTATGGAGGAGGAGTTCCATTCAACCCTCAGGCACCAGCAATGCCTGTACGATGGACATGTTTTCATCCAAAACTTKCTGTAAAACCTCCCAATACACAGCTAAAAACACTTTTGTAAGTTTGTAATTATTTTCTTTTTTGTGTTTATGTATATTTTTTTAAAGAGAGGTTATCGGGGTTCCATTAAAGATTTTCCTGGTGCTGATCCATTGAAGGATGTCGAAGTTCTTAGAAAGGCAATGAAAGGTTTTGGTGAGTAAATATCTTCATCTGAGGTGTATTTTCACAACTAACTAAGCTCACCCACGAGTGTTTTTTTGCATTTATTAAGATGATTTATAGTAATAAAACATTTGGTACAGGCACTGATGAAAATGCTATCATCGAACTTCTGGGGAATCGCTCCAACAAGCAGAGAGTTCCATTGGTCGCAGCCTACAAAACTACTTATGGGAAGGTGTGTTATTATTAAAATGATGATAAAATTGTTTTTTGTAATCCGCTTTGATTTGTCATGTTCTGTTTTATTTCTTTGTTTTCTAGGATTTAATCCGTGACCTGAAGTCTGAGCTGACTGGTGACTTTGAAGACCTGTGTGTTGCCATGCTGAAGACCCCTGCGCATTTTGATGCATCTGAGCTCAGAGAGGCTATAAAGGTTGGAAGCCGCAGCTGTTGTTGAAGGGAATGGAATTCAGCTGATGAGCCACATTATATCACTCATGTTTTCACATGGCGTGGAGGGCAAAACAATGGTTGTTGAATGTCTTGCTGATTCGTTTCAGTGTTTTTCTGTTTTCAGGGAGCAGGAACTGATGAAGCTTGTCTGATTGAGATTTTGTCATCGCGTTCCAACGCAGAGATTCAAGAGATCAACAGGATCTACAAATCCGGTGAGGCCATCTTGGTTTATTTTATTTAGGTTATTTATTTTTTTTATTTTTGGTGGCGGTGGGGCAATAAAATAAAATTTCCTTAGCTTGCGTGAACATTTTAAGAGGTACAGTTATGCGTAGACGACAAAAAAAAGTGAAACATCTACATGATGATATATTTGTAATTCTAGGAAAATGAGTTTGTTTTCTAAAAAAAACAGTTCTATTTTTTCAGAGTATGGGAAAACCCTGGAGGACTCCATCAGTGGGGACACATCTGGTCACTTCCGCAGACTCCTGGTCTCTCTCTGCCAGGTATCTTTTGAAACTCTTCTATAATAAACTGGCAAACCTCTGGTCATATTCTCTGAAATGCATTTTTGCGTGACTCCGGTTTGTCTGGCTATAGACATTTGTTTTTTTTCCAACCAGGGAAATCGTGACGAAAGGCCAAATGTTGACATCTCTCTGGCTAAGCAGGATGCTCAGGTAGGGGTTTAAAAAAAGACGTTTGGAAAAACGTACAGAGATCCTGTTACTGAAACGTCCTTCTTTCTCAGAAACTATATGCAGCAGGTGAAAATAAAGTGGGAACTGATGAGTCCCAGTTCAATGCCATCCTGTGCGCTCGCAGTAAACCGCACCTTCGTGCAGGTGTGTTACTCATAGCACTTCAGAAAGGGTTGTTGTTTCCTATCTCCGTGTTTAACAGTCAACGAAGTGATTGTACATTTTTCCTCTCCTAAATAGAATTCTAACCGTCTTGTTTGGGATTGTTGCTCTTAGTCTTCCAGGAGTACCAGCAGATGAGTGGGAAGGAAATAGAAAAGAGTATCTGCAGGGAAATGTCTGGGAATTTGGAGTCTGGCATGGTGGCAGTGGGTAAGTTCTAAATGTTTTCTTCTCTTTAATTATTAATGTTTTTTGTCAAATCTACTACATCATCCAGTGTATTGACCATACTTTTTATAATGTTTACATATTTGATGACATCAATCGCTCTTTTTTTCCTCAGTGAAATGCATCAAGAACACCCCAGCCTACTTTGCTGAAAGGCTTCACAAGTCGATGAAGGTACATTTTGCATTCTGTTTGAATGATCAAATTGTGTCTTATAGGCAGAGTTGCACATAAGTGGTGCACAGGTGTGCATGCGCGGTCAAAAAAAGAAAAAAYGCACCAGATGGAATGTCATGAAGCTCATTTGCGTACCTGAGATTGTCTGTCAAAACAACAGTTATCAGGGCTCTAGAGTGCAACCAGTTTGGTCGTAAATGCAACCTGATTTCTTTAAAAAAAAATTTCCAGCCACACTGGTGTGACTGGATCGTGTTCGTTGCTCACCAAGCCTCTTAGGACAGCGGGACCCTGATGTAAAGATTAAACTGAGACACTGCCTTCGACAAATCAGACGAAGTCCAGAGCYGTTTTATCCAATCACAGCAGAGCAGGTCGGGACTTTCAGTGAGAGCAGGTTTGGTTGAAGCAGCGACTCGACTCGAGCAGATAGGTGCCAATTCTGTGGTTGCTCGGTTGGAGCTGTCCGAGGCTGCAGCGGTCAGTCCTGACATCTCCTCCTGCACTTTGCTCCTGAATTACCAGAGACTTTGGTCTGTAAAACCTATATTCAGAAAGTTATCGAACAGATCTGTCCAACTCTGTGTGAGTGACAAACTCTCCTCCTGATGAGAGACTGCTGTGACGGGAGCGCCATCGCTGCGTGCGCAGGCTGAGTCTTTCTGTGAGATTCACTGTTTGAGTTCTTCTAATTAAATCACATTAACGTTTACAGAACATTTGTTTGCTCCATATTAAAGCAACGATGATTCTCTGTTTAACACCCCCGTCAAAAAAAAAAAAAAAAAAAAAACAGTATACAGTATATTAAAAAAATATACAACTTGCCATKTTCTCTAGATGARTGATTTTAAATGTTATTTTAATTTATCATAAAGATCCACAAATTTCATTCACAATTATATAAAAAAAACAAGGTTCTTGATGTGCTAAACTTGTTTGTATTTAGGACCATACTGTAACATAACTGCTCTGGGATTTTGCTCTGTTCAAAAGACAGATATTTGCTGCTTGGATTGGAGAGCATGGAAAGCTGKTTTAACTAAGGCCAAAGTGAAGACCAAACAGGAGCTGTACATCTGAGGGACATGTGTAGTCTAAAAGACATTTAACCATGAAATGTTCAGTTTATAATGTTTATATGACATACAGCCAGCCCCTCGGCCACTTAGGTAGTTTACAAAATTTATGCAGAGTAAAAAAATTAAATAAAAAACTTGTTGGACTGATTTGACATGATGTCCTGAGACGTTGCAGCTGATAGGAGTCATAAAACAGAACAGGGGGCGTTAGATGCCCTGACGCCCCCTGTAGATAAATGTGTTAAATTAGTGAAGGAAAATATGAGCACAAAGCAACAACCCTAGGTTCTCCCCTGAGAATCAGACAAAAGATTTTTATGTGCAACCCTGATTATAGGCTACRTTAACACTGCAGGTCTTATTGCACAATTCTGATTTTTTTTTTTTTTTTTCAAAACTGAATTTTGGACGTTCATTTATTTTAAATGTGACCTCCATCAGACTTAAGTGTGAACAGCTCAGAGTTGATGCAACCCGCATGTGCAGAAAGTGACGTGTTGTGCTGTTTACAGAAGTAGCCTATGGATGCTACATGTTAGCATGTCGATTCTGAAGTTGTTGTGCAATCAGAGCAGATGAAATAATTATGACATGCCGTGTTTACATTTGAAGCTGTCGCAGGCCGTGTGTTTGTTGCAGCTTGTACTTTTAGAACAGGAATGATGTGCTGGAAGTATCGATCCAGTAACTTTAGCATCAGTACGGTCTGAGACCAACGTTACTATCATGTGTTTCTGTGGATTCTCAGTCATCCAGGACATGGAAAATTAAAAAAAAAAAAAGACAAAGCTACTGGACTTATATTCCGTGGCTGAGGACCTGTGGAGTTTAGATTTAAACTGCATTGGTTGGTATTAAAATTCTAAATACTTGGATCAATTTGCTCACCCCCACCTCGCTGATGTAAAAATCAGATGAAACACAACACGAGTGTTCAGACTGCAGTGGATTTGAACAACATCAGATATGCGTCTGATTCAGTACCACATAATGAAAAGGCCTGGGTCAGATTTTGAAAAAAATCTAATTTGTCACGTTCAGACTGTCAGGAAAAACAATCCGATATGGGATTCATAGGAGCCAAAAAAAAAAAAAAAAAAAAAATCAAGATTCGAGTGTCACTTGCCTGCTGTGTAAATTTAGCGAGAGATCATGTGTGAAATAAGGATTTAATTTATTATTACAGGGAGCCGGCACCAAGGACAGGACCCTCATTCGTGTCATGGTGTCCCGCTCTGAGGTTGACATGTTGGATATCAGACAGGAGTATCTGAAGGCTTATGGGAAGTCACTGTACACTCACATCTCTGTAAGTCCCACCCGTCACATCTTGATTCAAGTCTTAACATTTGGTCAGTTGTTTTGTTYCTGACACAWTTTGTTGTTTTTCAGGCTGATACCTCTGGGGATTACAAGAAGCTGCTTTTGAAGCTGTGTGGCTCAAATGACTAGACAGATTAAAAGATTACATCTCATAAGGACACTGTATACAGTATGTCCACACTGAAACAATGGTGTAGGCCTTATATCACTTTTGATGCATGCTGCAAAACCTTATAGCCAATCAATGCTATTTTTGTAATATTTGATGATTTTTTTGTTAAATGTGCTTAATGACAAATCATATCATAGTCACATAATTGCTTGATGAGTAAACAACTGAAGAATATTTCAGACTTYATTGAAATTTAAGTTTTATAATTTTGAAAACTTGTCCCAGAAAATAATTAAGATGCACTACAAACCCCCTTAAATATAAAAGCTGTTTTTGTTTAACATGAAAAGTATGATACAAATACAGTAACTTATTTAGAACATAGCTTAACCTTATTACTCAATAGTTTAATTTTATATATATGTAGGTGCTAATACATTTTCTTGATTGTTTTGTAGATTATATTATTAAAAATTTAGCTAAATTTCAGATAGTAGACAAATCTATACTTACTTGGATGGCAAAGTGAAGTTTAGGATCATCTTTGAATGTCAAATAAATTCTGGGAAAATACTTTCTCTTATTTTTAATGAGCTGGTCCACCAACCAAATGTTTACTCCCGCTTGCAAATCTATGCAAATTATCAGCTAACATTTTTATATTGCTAATTGTTATAATTTACAGCAAAAAAAAAGTTGCCTTTCACTTTAAGCAGATATGCCAAAGTTCATGAATGTCTCCTATAAGTGTTTCTTTAACTGGTTTGGTTAAATAATTATGTTCATAGTTGTAAAACAACCAAAAAAATATTTTACTTTATTTGTTTCATGAGATTAAAAAAAAAAATGTATTTTCCCTTTCAGCCAGTAGAGGGTGCCAGATTCACATTAAGTGCCATTTCAAACCTTTCTATGATTTTTTTTTTTTTTGTCTTCTTTGCCACAGAAATGTTTAAACCCAATCCCCCCAAGAACAATCACTTTTCATTTGATTAAAAACGTGTTTGGCATATCTGGATTGTCTTTGTGAATTATGTCCTTTTTGAATGCAACATTGGGGATTTTCAGCTCAACACACAATGAGCACTTTGCCTTTCAAAGCTGATTGTTTTTGTACCTCCTTTCATCTGTATTACCGCAGCCTCTCTGCTGAGGGTCACGAACAGCATCTTCCAGTAAAAAGGTGCGAGTAATGCTGTTTAAATAAGTTATATGTCCTCTGCTGTGCAACTTGAGAAAGTGAGAAAATGTCCGTGTTTGTTTTGCACCTCAGTGATACAGCACACAGAGGCTTTTTTTTTAATGGGCTATAAATAGTGCATGACCTAAAGCTTTTTTCTTTAGCGTTCACTTACCTCCGAGTGCAACCTCAGAGGGAATCTTTTTCAGACAGATGACTTCAGTTCACTTTTTTTAAACTTCGCTTTTACTTGAAGTGCAAAGAGCCCRCCGGCTTGACTACAAAGAAGGATAAATATTTGATGTCTGTGTGTTCTTTTTTCAGCCAAGACGGTCTGCACTGATACCTCCTGAAATATAGGTCAAAAGGAAATCAGAGGGGGGCCCTACYGTTCAGTTTGCTTTTACTTAAAGATGCTGATCTCGATTTTAGACAAAGTGCTTTAAATATTAATGTRTATATGGGATCAAAAGAACCCTTTCTGGGGCCTGGTCACGCTCACAGATTTACAGCCTTATTGAAGATGTCAGATGTTCAGATAAGAGTTTTTAATCAAAGAAATGTGTTTAGGGTTGCAAAGGGACTAAATTTTCCAGAAATGGTTCGTGGAACGCTAAGGCTGGGGAGTTTTGTAAATACTCCAAATTGTAAACTTTCCATATTTAGAATTTATGAAAATTGTGGGYAATTTAGACTAACTTTACCGTATTCAAACAAAAAATACAAACATTTAGTTTAATTGTAATTTGCTCCAAAGTTTATGRAATAACAAAATTATGGACCTAATGTGGCATGATGACATTACTGTGTCACAACTTTTAGAGAACAATAGATTTTAAATATTTTTAGTTATTTTTTGATTATTCTTATTATTGTAATCCTTTTTCAAAAATTCCACACAACTCTGCATAGTATCCATAGAAGTTCTTTTAATTTTTTAAATAAAACTTTATATTTTACTATATCTGCCGTTACGTGTTTATGTAACAGTAAACATCTTTAGCATGTGTTGCCTCTTATTGCATGGTACWGCAATAGAAATTGTCTGTTTTAGTCATGATTTTGCTTATGTTTTCCTCATTATATTTTAATTCTCTGGTAAAGGCCAACTTTCAATATTTTAAATTCCAGATTTATTCCTGTTTGTTCCCATAAATTACCATTAACTCACACAGAAAGTTTCTAACTTTATTATTATTACTTTATATCTTTAAATGCCCAGAATTTTGCAACCTCAGTCATCAATAGAACTAGGAGCCTATAGGGTTCTTTTTTATTCTCTTAAATTTCTGTTAATATTTGGCGCTGTGTGAAACAAAATGCAGCTACAGGTGAGAATGGTTAAAAATCCAATGTGTTCCCTGATCAACATTCTCACCGCTGCCCTCTGTTGTTTAAATGCTTCATTTCAATCAGTAAAAGTAAGAATTGGCCAAACAGTTGATTTTCAATGGCTTTTCTCCAGCTGTCCARTGAGAAATGTGCAGCTAAGTGACATTTGGTTGCCCAGGACATAATCCTAAACTTCACGACTGCAGCAAGTTAGAAACCCGAGGATTAGATTAATGACACATAATGAAATATCAGCAGATATAACTATCCAGCTGCAGAGTTATTTACTTATTTACTGTTATTTAAACAGGCAAGTCCTGCTGAGATCTCAGATCTCTTTTTCAAGGGAGGCCTGGGCCTGAAGGAAACCTATTGTACGTGTTTTTAGGGGTGGGGGAAACCGGAGTACCCGGAGAAAACCCACGCAAACACAAGGAGTACATGCAAACTCCACACAGAAAGACCCCAGGTCTGAACCAGGGATCGAACCCAGGACCTTCTTGCTGTGAGGCATCGGTGCTAACCACTGATCCACCGTGCTGCCAAGAGTTGCACTGTAGGGCCATCAAGAACGTGCAGCCTCACCCAATACAATTTGTGCACCTTTTATAAAGAAAATGAGCAGGAAAAACTTGCTTCAAACACGATTTACTTTCCTATAATGACTTTTGCAAGGCTACCTCCTGACTGTAATGTGTTTGAGGATGTACATTATTTCTAAACACTACCACTGCTTTGCCTGGTGTGCACAAATGGATTTTCTCAGCTGTGCGAGCAAATGACCATGTTATGCAACCACTAACAGAGTTAAAACAGTTAAATGTGGGGATATACAAACAGAGCAAGGCAGGCCCTGTGTGCAGGCTCCAGAGGAGGATCATAATAACTCATAAATAAATACAACTATTGGAAGCTTCTCAACATGGGAGATGGCACAAGCAGTGCTGTTTGCACAGCACATTTGTATTTCCCACACAAAAACAGTTTCCTGAGGATTTAAGTTCTACGTGACATTTGGTTCCTGAGGGATCTGATGGATTATGTAGAGCAGAAGAAAGCTGAGMGTGGGCCAGCTGTGGCAGAGGACAAATCCAGAGAAGAAACAGGCGGTGCCGAGGTAGAAATCTGCTCTAAAAAGAAATCTGATCACATAAAAGCTACTGGATTACCCTGATCATGAAATATCAGTCTGCAGGGTTGCGTCATGTTGTGGACCGAGCAGATAGGTTAAAGTTAAATAAATAAAATTGACTTACGAAGCAGTGATTTATACACAACTATATAACTACAAATATTTATCCGCTTATAAAGTAGTTTTCTAAATCAAAATTTAGTATCTGTGTTTAAAAACGTTTTCATACTGTGAAACATGATTATTTACAATATGTAAGTATTGAAAAAATATGCAAGAATTTTTGGTTTATTATTATAAACTGCATGTTTTCTTCTTAAACAAAAAGAAACAGAAAATCAGTTAGCCTGTTGTAGATTAAAAAAAATTTGTTGTGAACTGAGTTATAACATTTTATTCTTAGTCTGGAAATTTCTTCCAGTTATTTTTAACTGTAATTTATATGAACACTGACAGTCAACTTATAGCCCCAAAGTTTCTGTACCTGCTTTTCTGCTGCTTTAAAAAAAGTTTATATTTCCTTTTAAATATTTTTTTAAATAACAGACTGGCATTTTGAAAAATTGTAGTTTTGTGGTTTGTCTGTAATTTAGCCTCCAAGAAAGGTCATTCCATAACTTTTGCCAGGGGAGTGCATATTTAGATGTAGAAATAGATATTACAAGTAGTATTATTATGTAGATTCATACTTTTATTTACATTTAAATGATTCATTAACTTTAATTTTATAGAAGTAGAAAAAAATAACAAGGTGAACACAACAAAAGATTTAAATACAATAATTTTAAAGCTGTTTGTTGCATACATTAACTTATGCAACCAATTCTTACCAAAGCAGTTCTATTATTGATAAAACTGAYTCAAAAACTCGTCCTTGTAAAAGATTAAATTAAGGTTTTCCTTAATTCCGTGATTAAAGCGGCGGGGAGCCAGGTGTGCTTGAACCATAAGCCCCGCCCACAATTACCTTAAATGTCCATTGCACAGAAATATGATTGGTGGGGCTCACAGCGAGTCGGACGGTGAGACATGGCGGAGTGTGGTCTCCGATAAGATTCCCTCTGAGAGTTTTGACAGTTTTTCACATGTTGGAAGAACTTTATTTTAGGAAAAAAGATGGCTGCGTAGCATAATAGAGTGGAGCTGAAAGAAACGAGGTTTCTTTTTTCTTTCTCGAGAAGGACGGAGAAGCGGTTGGAAAAAAATGTGTTGTCATCTTCGCGCAGTCAACAGCCTCAGGCAGCAAATATGGCTACTTCTTGTGTATCCTTTATTTCGGGTTGAAACCCGTCCCGAGTGGGTCGAACGGGACTGTTTTGAAGAGGCACACTAAGTGAAGTCGACTACCAGGAAGATTTTTTTTCTCCCCCCCTCCTGCGTCTTTCCTGAGCAAACAGAGGCGGATAAAAAGAGTTTGTGGGGCTGAGGAGGAGGAGATGGAGCTCCAGCATAAAGAGTTGCTGGAGAAATGTTACCAGAACTTGGTGGAGTCGATAACCGATGCGGACCGAGTTGTGGATGTTCTGGCTCACTGCGGGGCCCTCAGTCAGTCCGAGCTGCGCGAGCTGGCGCACAACTGCGCCTCCAGCTCGGGAAAAGTGGACCTTCTGCTGAAGACCCTGCTGAGTAAAGACAGAGATTGTTTCGCAGAGTTTTGCACGGCTCTGGAGACCACCCACCCTCACCTGCATGCCTCGCTGCTGGATGGGCTCGGACCAGTCGACCGCACAACTGGTGAGAAACATTTAAAACTTATAAACTAATAAGAACCGTGATAAAAGTTGCATGTGCAACTTTGTGTTTGGTTCTGTAATAATTATATAATATAATAGACCAATTGACAAGGGGCAACAGAAGAGGACAAAAAGTGCTTACAATCATGTGACTGTTCACACTATATGCTTGTGCTAAAAAAGCGCAGCACTGTTTGCCTTTTGTGGAAGCATTTAATGGAGCTAAAAGGATCCAAACAATCAATACAGTGAYAGAACAGCCTGAAGGATTTGTGGGCTTGTGTGATCAATAAGCCACTGTCAAAGTCAAATGAATGAGAAAAGAATTAAATGAGTGATTTTTGCACTTTTTACAGTGTTGAATGGAGGACATCACTGATTGGTGCTGCAGCAGCCGAGACTGTTAAAAAAAGTAGAATGGTGTCTGCTTTAGTTTTCCATAAAGTGAAGTTTTTGATTTCAGCCAGCAATCCAAACCCAAATGGATCAAAAGTAGGGAACGCCAAAGAATRTTAACCCTTTTCCACAGTTTCATTATTAGGGGTGTAAGAAAATATCGATACACTGAAATATCGCGATATTTCATTTCCCGATACTGTATCGATATTCTAAAGCCCTGTATCGATTTTTTTTTATTAAGGTTTAAAATGTCAACTTTCTTGCCAACCRTTCATTTTTATGTTGTAGTTCAGCCTCTGACCACTAGTTGGCAGCAGTGAGCCAGCCATTTGGCTCCTCTACCTCTTGAGCGCCAGAGAGTAAGGGTAGCATTAGCATTGTAGGAGACAATGTAAGCATTGTCAGTAAACATTAGCTTTTTTTTCAGTAAGAGGTTTTTCCATCCATCCATCCATCCATTTTCTGTACACGCTTCTTCCTTTTCAGGGTCGCGTGGGTCACTGGTGCCCATTTCCAGCAGTCACAGTGCGAGGGGCRGGGTACACCCTGGACAGGTTGCAAGTCCATCACAGGGCCACACATAGAGACAAACGAGACAAACAAGCATTCACTCTCTCACTCACACCTAGGGACAATTTAAAGTTATCAATTAACCTAACAGTCATGTTTTATTTAATAGAATTTTTGGACAAAAAAAATCGCAATATATCGCAATATATTGCCTTGCTTACAGTATCGCAATATATCGGGATATATCGTATCGTGACCCCTCTGTTATGATATGTATCGTATCACCAAATTCTTGCCAATACACAGCCCTATTCATTATGCATTTTGAGCTTATTCTCAGCAGGAACAATGTTTCTTTACACACAAACAATTAAAACATCCCACTTCCTCCATTTTTTAAGTATTTATTTACCTTTAAACAGAGTAATCGTATGCAACACTGGCATTCATGATTAAAGAATTAAAGGCTAAATCCTTAAAGGAATGCATGTTGCCCAGTGCCTTTCATTATCTTGTATTGAGAATTGAGATGTCACAAGTTGTCACCCTCAGAGTATGTGTTGTAAACGATTGTCAGAAGCCACTACTGTTCTCACTGCACCATAAACAGACAGTTATTGTCAGTTTTGTGCGGTCAGCTCAGCGTGCATTTAATATTCCTTTTTTAAGAATAAATCCTACAGTCAAAGACACACTTTTGCTACTCTTCTGCTGCAAAAACCAAATGAACTCTGTGTAAGCTACATTGTCTGTGATTTATTTCTYATTTTGTTATATTCAGCAGGATAATTTACATTGTTACTTGTTCCTTGCTCAGCAACTCCGGTGCATCTTTGCACCTCCAGAGTATATTTCTGTTGCTTAGTTCAGCATCAGCCWTTGTATCTGTAGGGACCTGAACAGGGAGGTTATGCTTTTGAATTCAYTGTGTCATAAGTGTGTTTGCACATGATTAAATTAACAAAACAAAAACAACCTATTTATTTTTAGCAGTTGCATTTTTGTCTCACGCAACTACTGTCCACCAGGGGTGGGCGATCCTGATCCTCAAGGCCCACTATTACATGTTTTAGAGGTTTCTCCACTCCACTCCGACACACCTGGTTTGACTGAATATGTGATTGTTAAGCTTCTGCAGGTCTTGAAGAGGTAATAGTCACTCCATCAGGTGTATTAGGGCAGGGAAACGAGTAAAACAGGATAGCAGCCCTCGAGGACCAGTAAAACCAAACGATATAATCAAACTACTGCCAGACAGCTCAACAATAGGTTGAGGTATGGTCAATGTGTTTAAGTGTGCATCCCCCCTGTTTGGTAGTTGGACAAGTTGCAAATAGGCTGAGATATATTTTGCTACTGGGCAGACAGGTTCCTCCACTGCAAAACCAGGACAAGAGACTTTTGCTCAGGAAACACAAGCTTGTTAAAATGAAATTACATAGGAGCAGCAGCCTTGTTAGGTAATAATTAACACAGTGAGAGAGCAAGACCACATTTTGAACAATTTTTTTTAATTACAAAAATTGTCAACTCTTGAATTGTTGGGTTTATAAAATTCACTATATTGGGATTATGTTGCAATAAAATATGTGCTTCCTCAAAGATCGTTTTTTTTTTTTTTAAATAAACCAGATTTGCTTTGGTTTTATATAACCATAGCTTCAGGGCTTGACAGTAGAAGCCTTTTTGTTTACAGGTTGTTCCCACCTTTTCTTAAAGAACAATGATGGCAACAGATTATTTGGGTGTGTACCATGGCTGGGATATTCACCCATATTAGACGGAACAATATAACCTGGGATTTTTGCAAAAGCCAGATTTGTTTTTCTTTTGTAATTTCTCTTTGTATCATTTGTTTTCGGTCAGCCTAAACTATGGCAAAGATTGTAGCTACTGTAAACCCAGGAAGTCATTAACTTTAAACTGCAGTAGATTACAGTGAGAATTTATTCAGGGAAATTTACTGCAAATGATGTGTTTCGTCTCCTTTTTATCAGCAGCATGTCTCTCAAACACCTCAGAGAAAAGCTTCGGATTTAATCAGATCAATTTCTACTCAGCTTTATGGCTCACTGAACCTGTAGCAAACACAATAAAATATTTAAGCCTCAATGGCCGTAACAAGACATATGTTTTATTTGTGCAATTTCATCTTAAATGACATGACAAAGTAGTGATTGTGTAAGATTTATCTAGACTGTAACTTGTGAATAATATCTAATTGTTGAACTTAACACTGGAATACTTGTACAAGATCACATCTCTAAAGTTTAAAACCAAACCTGTGCTTTACCTACTAATGAAGTCAAACCAATCCATCTGATTGTTGCGCAGAATTCAGATCTGTAGTTGACACGACTCGGCTGTATAAATAAAACTGACCTGACTCTATGCTATAAGAAATGCATGTTTTCTCCCTCCTTTTTAAATAATTTATTTGAAGTCTAATTTTGTAGCCAGATTTTGTTTCAGCTGAACAAACACCAGCTAGTTATTTTTGTGTAAAAAAAAAAAAAAGATAAAATCCTGATGGTGTTCAGGTATAATT